ATAATCTCGATAATTATTGATCAAATTCAAAAGTTTCTGTTATTCAATCAAAACTGATTTGTCAACATTTAACATACCTGATGTAATGGTTGACTTAGCCAGCTCTGAAGTACCCTCCTTACTAATGACACACTGTTCATTTCTATGTATTTGCTTGTTGAAAAACAATCTCCATTATTTCACTTTGACAATTAAGTCCACGAATTTGTCCCACTTTGTCCCCTTTTTTGGTTCAATGTTCTCACTTAGGTACACTTATTGGAAAAATGTGTGCGTGTCCTCGATAATGTTCACTTCCAAATAGTTTACCCGATTGTTCATCAAAGTAACGTCTTCACTCACTGTTATGTCTATTTTGTTCGGTTTTTCTTCAATAATTAGATTTTTCAATGGATCCTCCTGAACATAACCGAATTTTAGTACATTGCCAATTCTCACATAGGCTATTTTAGGATTTTCAGTGAAATTGCGCCCCAACAACAATAGTACACTCTGTACATTATCTGACACGATTAGAGCCTCAATTTTTTCTTCCACATCGTCCAGTTTCACTTTGATTATTGTCTTCATTTTGGTTGTAACTGTTGCATTTCTAAATCCATACAGTTGTTGCTGACTTGGTTCATATTTTAATTTATGATCTTTAATTATACTTTCCATTATTGTAGTGTCCGCACTCCCCGGATCTATAAAAGATAACATTTAAATTCTATCATTGATAATAACTTCTTGCAAGAAATTTTCTCCCAAGTTTGTTGGTGTTTGTACTACACTATTTTTATTTTGGATACATGGCCATATTTTTTACACACATAACATAGTGGTTTGCCTTCTGCGTTCCGTGATGGTAAAAACTTTTTAGCTTCCAGAGTCATTTGTCTCTTTTTTTGTCTCAATTTTGGCTGTATTTCTTTTCCAGTATTTCTTTCTCTTCCGAATGTCAGTGTTTGTTCAGCTGATTTTTTAGTTCTTTCGACTCTGGCTTCTTCTATGCGCATATACCTATTCATGAAGATCATGTAAGTATTAGTTCGTCATCATCATTGTATTGCACAATTGTTTATCATACAAGCCTATCAATAATATGTTCTTTGCTTTCACTAAAAGAGAGATTCAAATGCTTGCACAAATTCATCTTATCGTAGAAATAGTCATTAATATTTTCTTTTTTATTCTGTAACCTAGCAGTCATACGTTTCCATTTTGCAGGTAGCCTCTCGTCGTGTACAAAAGTTTTATTAAAGGGTGCTACAAAGTCATCAAAGTTGTATATCGTGTATCTTTTAGTCAAAAATCAATGCTCCATCTTTTAAACTACCTACTTCTAGCTATCTCCAAAGCTAATTGTGTAATGTTTTCATGCTTTCTATTTTCTCTATCCACTGCTTGCTATTTTTGTTTTCGCTGAAAAATTCAACATTTTAAATGATATCTGGCATTACCTGTTCATTGGCGTGCCTACATAACAAGAAAAATTAACAAAATACTGATAAGAAAAAACTGCAAGCAGAAGGTACGTCTGACTTTCCGTTGTCTTTGAGGGATATATTTAATAATGATCTTTCCGAAAGGAATGAAGTTTTGTCGGTTACAAAAACCGAAAAGCGTTGAAATTGAAAATGAAGAGAAAGTTAAGGAAAATTGGAGGATTGAAAATTTTGGCCTTGGGCGGAATTCGGACCCGCGTCCTCAGCATTGCCAATGCTACGCTCTAACCAACTAAGCCACCATGACCCTTCAGATCTTTTTGATTTTTTGTTTGATGTTAGAGGAAGTTGCGTGGTTCTCCGCTCCATTGCCAATCTGCACAATCCTCCAATAGACCCACACATTTATCTTTCCATTGCCCTCGGTGTCACTTGGAATTTGTTCACAACTTTTCTGGTTAGAGTCAATGTTTCTGCTCCATATGTTTGAAATGGAAGCACACATTGATCAGAGACCTTCTTCTTCAAACACATGGGAATATCTGATTTAAAGACAAACCTCAGTTTTCCATAGACTGCCCATGTGAATCTTATATTCCTGTTCAATTCTGTGGTCTGGTTATCTCTTCCTAAATTAACCTCGTGGCATAAATATTTTTAAAGGTTAAGCTCTACGAAGAATTTGTCTCGATCTAGAGGTATTGAGAAAAGACGATGAAAAGGGGCATTGAGTGCTATATCTTCTGACTGAAGGGGGAATTTGATTGGACTCGATTGCTTTAGTAAATGTGTTACGTTCAAATTTTGCCTTAACGTAACTGAAGATTTCAAATAAATTCAGTAATTAATTCAGGTATTTGTGAGGGTATTTAGAAAGCTTTATACCTGAGGATTAATATTTTTCAGTAATTGATAGGTTGCTCATTGAATTTTACTAGATTTCTGCCTTTTTGGTTGGATGCGAAACAATATCTATTTGTTGAACAAGGGTATATTTTTCAAGGTAATAATGAGTAAATTCTTCGTATTCTGAGGACAGAGTCCTCTAAAAGGCCCTAAATGTCGATGAAAAGGTTTGTTCACTTTCAAATAAATATCAATTGTCAACACTTACGAGTCACGTAATTTCCATTATTAAAAACCCTGCAACATCACACATCACTTTTACAGCCTTTAAATTGCTTTTCCACCCTTATTTCCTCTATTTTTCACATTTTTCCCGGTTATTTATTTGCCGAATATGTGTGGTTATGGGACATTTGTTGATCCGTTTCAAGCAGCACTGTTGTCGAGGTTTCTTGACCACTGTAGGTAACAGAGTCACTGTAGTTGTGACGTGACCTCTGAATAGTCACTGATCATTTTGATAGTTTTTAGAATGAAGACTAAGTTATGTTTTGATTGTTGATTAATAACTACTATAAGTAATTAATTAGTGTTAATTGGTATTAGGAGAGAAAATTTGGTAACAACTTTGGGTTTCGTTTGTCATCATTGTGATTTGGGTTGTTCCGTTTCAAGCTGATTGTTCCGTTTTCCTGGTCAAGACCGGAAATCTGGCACCAAAGGGCATCTTGAAAAAAAACTGGAATTCTAGAAAAATTTTCATATTGAGCTCACCCAATAAATCGCTGAAAAGGAATCGTTCTCTTTTATATTCGCACGTTGAGCAAACAACAAGTGGAAGATTTTTACCAACGGTCCTTTTGCTGCGTTCCTAGGAACATCCACCTTTTTGTGGGATTTTGGAGGCGTTGGGATCTCAAGTGGTTACTGGCTTAATTGGTTTTGGGGTGAAAGCTTTGGATTTGGTCGTAATAAGTCCCCGTATTTGTAAGCCAACCACACAGAATTTTCTGGAAACAAAGGTCTACGCCATTTTGTTGGTTTGTCGTGTGAGCACAGAGCACGTTTTGTTCAACTAGAAGCCCGAATTGTAACCAGGTTATTACTCGGATTTTTGGGTAGCCCCATACTCGCCACTGTATTTCGGAAACCAGTCATAGGATCATCTTGGGCCCATGTGAACTTTTGATCAGAAGATCGAGATCTACCAAACATACCAAAATTTGATCAAAATCGTGGATTTTTTAAAATTCCATTTAAAGTGTGCGACATCCTTTATACGTTTTTATCAATCTGAATTTACGTTTTCGTTTTTTTAATTACTGTTAAATTCGTAATGACCATTTTTAACATTGAATGCTGTCTTGGGTATCGAATTTTCATATATCTCGACTTGATGAAAGCCAGAGGCTAAATATAGTGTCGTAAAATATTTACTACGACCAAGTTGGTCTAATATATCAGTGATATTAGGTAATGGATATCTATCATCAATAGTTTTTTCGTTTATCTTCCGATATTCAACGACCAATCTCCATTTTCATCAAGTTCCCACCCTATACCAACATTATGGAGCAGATACTGTAAAATTACAAGGAATACAAAGTAAGATCAATGCTGAAAATAACTATTCAAGATGTGGGAGTGATTATGCGCCTAGAGTGGAACTGGAGGATGGAAAGGGTTATATAATAGAGTCCAAAATGCAAAATTCAGATACCCCCAATTCGTTGATAATGATGTATAATTGCTGGAAACTAGATATTGGTTGTTCAGGATAGAAGAGGATCATAGATAGATAGCAGTCGACAGTATGACAATGATGATCACCTAAAAAACTCAATCAAGTGAAGAAAATTAAAATCCTATATAAACCAACTGCCAAATATTCATTCGAACACGATCCCTTGTATGTTCTGTCTAAATCCAGGTGTTAGGCAACAAACACGCTGTATTAGTAAGTCTAAGCATATGTTTGATCAAATTAGTATGTCAATAATTGTCCCGGATATGCTGACATTTGTTTGTAAACAATGCCGCAACGCAATACCTGGGGCCCATAGGACAGTAATTGTTTTAAATTTCGAGATATGATGTAATTACGTCAAGTCTGGGAGACAATGAATCCATTATTGTCGCTCATAAAACACGCAAATGTGTTTGTTTTTGGTTGAATAACTAGAATAATTAACACATAACCGTACAACTACACAATTCCCGCGGCATGATTTATGATTTGATACCACGTCTGCCTCGGACCGAACATGCAAAAACGGTTAATTGTTTCTCTGTCTCTGGAGCCAGATGCTATTTCAGATATAACTCGGGTTTTTGGTAAATTATGTATTCTGGTTGGGGGGTTTGTTTTGCTAGCCGTTTTGAATTTCTAAATTAAAAATTTACAATATATAACTATAAAGCAATCTGCAAAAAAAAAAAAAAAAATAGTTTACTTCTAAAAACCCTTAATATTCGCATCATCCTTCACATCGTCTTCCTAAATAATAAACGCCGGTAATATAACTTATACCCTCTTCTAGAATGTGTCCCTCAGGTAATACAATATGCAAAAATGTCAGCTCCACTCAGCAGCGGACTGACTGAAACATTCTTTATATAAATTACGTAAGATACACGTAGCTTCTTTGGCAAAGTTTCTTGACAACTTTGCCTCGTGCAGCATTTGCCTCTTAATCTAAATATTAAATAATGTTTTTTTTTTTGCAGGCCGTTCACGAATTCTCGGGGGTCCGGCTACCCCTACAGCCGTACTCCGGTAGTCATGCCGTTTTTATGTATTCCACTGCGTCGGATGGTAACGTCACGTTGCAGCTCAAAGAACCAGACGATCTTGACAGGTAAAGTAATTTATTTCATTAAACATTAAAAAAAGACAAATTTAGTCAACAATTTACTGTGATCAACTTCAAATTAAAGTCCAGCCTTTGCTCTCAATACGGGATGCAATATAGCGAGCTCAACTAAAGTTAAATTAATAGGTAACTGAATTTAATGTAGATAAAGATAATTTTGAACTAAACCAGGATAAGCCAAACAAACTCATTAAGCCATCAAAAGGCATGGAACAAAGTTGGTCGCTGCTTTAAACAGAAAATGTTTACCTGATGACCTCTGGCTTCAGTTGGACGATTATTTCCATCAAAGTCCCATTGAAGGTTTAGTTTGTTACAAATTAATTTGATTATTTGAACTGTAAGATAAGATAACCTAGGGTCGTGGAATAAAAAAAATTAAGTTAACGTGTAGTCCCTCTATCTGCAAATGAAACCACTCAAAATCCAACAAACAATAATTTTATTTGATATCTGTGTTTAACAATATAGTAACAATGCCACTTTCTTTAAAACATGACAGTTGACAGCTTGGTTTTTCCGGTGAATGTGATACAATGTACCTTTCCAATCCGGAGCACTTCAATGGGTCTTGGGGTTTCACTTTCGTGAACTGGAGCTCTTCGTGTTGTTTCTTGTATCCAGGAAGAGGATAGATTGCTGGGGTGACGTCACTCCAGCTGATCTAGACTCCAAACAGTGATCTTTATGTGGAGTAGGTACCCAGAAAAGAATAAGGCAGTATCAGGTTCACCAATATTTGGAATATTAAATCCCTAAATTCTGTCAAAAATTGAGTGTCTTGCAAAGAAAATTTAAATTGAAATTTAATATAAAACTATTGTTGTACAGACACTCCCTATCAACAGAATCAGGTATGAACAGCTATTGCAAATTGAGAAAAAAAATACTTTAATATAAAAAAAACATAATTGAATAATTGAAAAATAATCATATAAAAAGATTAAATTAAAATGCTCCCTACAGATTGAGCAGAGTGCTGCTTTTCTGGCAGCCGCACTAGCAGGCAAAAATATGAATAAAATAAGATAAAACAATAAGAAACTAAATCTCTAGACGCTCCCCCAAAGACAAAATTTTCCTCTTAAATTAAGGTAGCTACTATAGATACTACAAGATAAACCTGGGGTTGAAATTAATCAAATCCAAAATATGTCAAAATTCTTGAGATGTTTTAATTAAAACTTTTTAACTGAATTTTTGACCTGTCTGGATTTCTATTTTAAAAAATTACACCCTTTTGTCGAGATAATAATTGACGGAGTCAAATAGAAAATGGCTATTCAGGCCTCTGCCTGGATTCAAAAAAGAGTTTATAGGGATGGACACACAAATTTACTCTATTTAGAGCAAATGGTCCAATATTCCCACACTAACAATTGATTCTGAAAACTAGAGCAGCAATACCTATTTATTATTCCAAAAATCTGAATTGACTCACCTCAGAAAAACGTGGCACAACCAATCGCATAAAATGGAAGCCCACAATTAGATAAATATTTAAAATATAATATTTATATTTCAAGAACAGATAAGATAAGATTTATCAGGTAAAAACTTAACAATGATATGATAATATGCATTGATTAGCAAAATATATTGAAAGATCTATGAGGGAGAATCCAAAAATACAAAGTAAAAATTATTAAAAACAAAAAGGACTTGCCTGCTAGACTACTGTCGAGAAAAGAGCGTTTTAGAAACCAAACCCCTCAGGAAAACGAGCCTGTGTTTTTTTATAGGTAACTGCATTTTAACTAGTTCACCCAATCAGACGAGTACACCCAAAAGATCATATTCACTTTACAATGAAATCACAATGAAAAACAACGTGGAATAAAAGAGAATAGATAAAAATGCACTAGAATTAATTCAATTGTTTACAAATTATAATAATTTAAATTAAGGTTATGTCAAAAATAAAAAACTGCTAATTAATTAGGTCATTAAACGAAAATATGATTATTTCAGAATCAGAAGTTAGAGAAAAACAGAAATATATCCATTTGCTAAAAGTGAGATAAATATAATTTCTTTGAATGAAAATACAAATGAATGTCAAATAAAAATAGCCAAGGAAAACTATCGCAATTTAAAAAAAAAAAAAAACTCCGGTACTAGAGGCAGCACTGGTAAATGAATAAAAGATATTTGCATTTTACGCACATGATGGATAGATGGCAGCATTGGTATTATATAGTGAAAATAAGAAGAGATGGAACATGTTACGTAAATGATAAATTTATCGTAACAGACGAATGGCTAGAACAGGAAAGCATCAGACAGTCAAAAATATTTTTACAAGGTCCTTCAAACTACAAAGAGGCAAAAAGCCTCCTAAAACTAAACAGGAGCCAACTTCAGGCCTCCTGACAGGACACTGGGTGGTCAGATACCACCTACAGAAAATCGAACTACTCAGCAATGAGACGGAATGTGGGTTCTGCGGCGAAGTAGATGAAACTACGAACCATATAGTATGGGAATGTGATGCCCACGTCAGTCGCAGACTTCGATACCTCGGGTACAGTTTCCTGGAACCTGAGGAAATAAAACATGTCCGGCCTTGGCGGGTCTGCACCTTTCTTAATAGTTGCGGCCTCCTGCACCAAGAGGGGGATAGTACAAAAGACCACATGCGCTTTACGTGCTGCCTGTAAAGGCTCCTTTTTCAAATCAATCAATCAACTTGCTATGGTCTAAGATTTTCCAATTAGATGAAATACTGCATATTACAATAACTATAATATTCTTTGTCCTATTTTTATCTTTTTTTTTTATTATGGTGGAAAATGTTAAAGTGTTATCCGCCATAATCTTCAGGGGATACGTTTAATTTTTCCATTTCACATTTAAAATTCACTTGACTGACAGTCCCTCTTTACGTTTGTTTTAATATTTAATTTTCATTCCAGGAACAGTCTGGCAGTTATGTTGGCAAGATTACAAGAAGATTCATCATTTTCGATCTACACTCAAGACACCGATATTTTATCCGATAACGGTATCGACGTTTTGCTCGGACCCGGCAGCTCTGGCGAAAATTCAGGTAACTTTTAGAACTAAAAACGTTCGCATTTCAGTTAACTTTCATAAAGCTGGAACCGACCAAGCATACTAGAGGTCGGTAAAATATTCCACATTCGCTCGCCCGTTGCCACAACCGCACGAAACGTTTGTTGGTTTCTCTTCGGAATAAAACCTAAAAACAAAACAAGCCCTAAAGTTGATCTTTTGCTATTCGCTTTTTGCCCGTGGAGCTTTTAACTTTTCGAGCTAAAAACGTTTAAAGTTTCCATCACGCGATCGTGCTTCCTTAACTTTGAGACGAACCAGCCCGCATACGAAAGGATTTAGTTTTCAGTTAGGTCGAACGTGCCCATTTCGTAGCCGACGAATCGAGAAAGAATTTTAAAAACTCGTCCCAAATGTTTAAAGGTAAACTTCTTCTGTCTGTATGGAAATTCTATATTCAAAATTGGTTTTCAAGTTTCATCTAAGCCGAAACTATATAAGTAAGTACTTCTTTTGCCGGAAATTGGGAATTGCTTTCGAATGCGGGTATTTGCCATTCGAGTTTAATTTATTTTCAAGTACTTTAGCAAGCTGATGCTGACGACGGGTTTCCACTGGTGACTTATCGCCGAAGTAACAGAAGAGAGTTTCGAGGCACCTTAGAGATCGAATCAGACCAGGAATTTGTGGCTGCGTATGGCAGCAAGATGTGGTTTTACATTAGTAGAGTTCTTCTATAATTCTTAAGTACATAACAAAAAAAACTGCCTAATGTAAGTGAGGATAACTTAATTGTTGACCAACTTCGTTTAAAGTTGGCATCATTCCCGACTACTACAACGTAATAAATTCCTGTGGATTTTGGCCTAGCAAGGTAATCTTTCGCAGATTTCATTTTAAGAATAAATCCAATATATCCAGACACGATGGGGCCCAGGATTCTCGGGACCTAGCCGACAATCAAAACTGAAGAGTTCTATATCAGTCTATTATCAGAATGTGCGCGGTTTGCGTACCAAATTAAATACATTGGCTAGTTCTGTTCTCCTAGTTTTATACCAAGTTCTGGTTTTTTCAGAGACTTGGCTCACTGAGGACTTTTAGGATGCTGAACTGGGCATGGAGAACTATAACGTCTTTAGATGTGATCGTTCAACTTCTTCCAGTAATGCCACCAGAGGGGGAAGTGTATTGATAACAATTCAAAAGGGTATTTTCAGCTCAATCCACGACTATTGTTACAGTTATTCATCAGGGTGCACCCGGGAAATGGTAAATTATTGTTTGCTGCAGTTTACCTACCACCAAGATCCAATAGAGAGGATTACAGATGTTTTTCGGACTCGGTGGAAACTTCACGGATACATTCCTAGATTACAAGCTTTGCATTTTCGGTGATTTCAACTTACCCAAGGCTCTCTGGGGGACAGTCTCAGTTCTGCAGCTGTTGCTGCTCAGTTTTCCTTAAGCTCAGCGTGAATCCACCGAATGTTTATCCAATATGAGCGCTTACCAAAATCTGTTCCAAATAAATGCATTCTCTAATGCTCGTGGCACTCTACTTGATCTGGTTTTCACCCAGGACCCCGAGGATACTTGTCTCTTGGCTAATGACATTATCCTCCCCATTGATGCATATCATTCTGCTTTACTTTTTGTCACCTGCATTAGGTCACCTCACTGTAATACTGACGTCCCCCAGCCTGACGCGTACTATTATGATTTTGGGTCTGCTGATTACGCACTCCTCAATGATAACCTTGGGATGGTTCGCTGGGATGACTTACTCTGTGGTCTCGAGGTGACGGAAATGATCAGGGTTTTCTATGACGTTCTCTATACGGCTAACGATTGTTGTGTACCAAAGAAGAAGCTCTCAAGCCATAAATGTCCACAATGGTTCTACCTTGAACTAAAGGACGTACTAATTGAAAAGAAAAGTGCCCATAGAACTTGGGAGCAGACGGGTTCCCCTACTGACTATGTTGAATTTTCACACCTTTGGACTCAGTGTAAGACTCTTTCCAAAGATTGCTATACCTACAAATTAGGTACGTCATATCCTCAGAGGTGTCATTGCTAAGGGATAAAAATCTAAAACATTTCTGGAACTTTGTCAATGCTAGACAACAGACTTATGGACTCCCTTCTTACATGTTTTATAATGGTAAATACGCCAAAAGTGGACCTGAACTAGCAAATATTTTCGGTGCATACTTTCATTCTGTATACTCAGACAAAGCATGTGTTATTGGCCACAGCATTTCCGATAGTAACATTCACATTCTTGACTGAAATCTCCTTCCCAGTTATTTACGGGGAACTGTGTAAGCTACGAATCTTTCGTGGAGCTGGCCCAGATGACATCCCCCCATCTGATGCTCAGCAGGTATAGCTTTATACTATCTCGTCCTTTGGTTATTCTGTTCAATGAATCACTTAGTAGTAGGGTATTTCCTGAAATTTGGGAGCGGAGTTTTATCACGCGCATCCATAAGACCGGTGACAAAATGGACATTACCAAATACAGGCCTATCAGTATCCTTAACACTATCCTTAAGGTCTTTGAGAATATAGTAACTAAATTCTTAACTACTATCATCAATCCTTGCCTAATTTAAAGGCAAGCAGGTTTCCGGCCAAAGTGCTCCAGCGAAACTAACCTCCTGACGTGCCAGGATATTTCTCAGCGAATCTTGAAAGCGGTGGAGTTGTTCACTCCATATATACCGATTTTGCTAAAGCCTTCGACCATGTAAACCACAACGTCCTACTTACGATACTTGGGAGAATTGGAATATCTGGTACTCTGCTTGCGTGGATCAGCGACTCTCTTAGGAACAGAACCCAAACAGTCAAGATCATCAACTTCTGTTCACAGCCCATTGACATCCCCTCAGGTGAACCACAAAGATCTCACCTCTTGGACCCCTGCTATTCAATATTTTCATCAAAGATATTGGTTCTTGTTTCATTAATAGTGAGTTTCTATGTTTTGTCGATGACTTAAAGATATTCGTCGAGTCTCCTCCCATGAAGAATGTGCCAGATTATAATCTGACTAAAATAGATTTTCCGAATGGTGTGTGGCATGGAACTCAATGCCTCTAAACGTAAAGCTATCGTAATCTCCAAAAGTCAAAGTCCCATACAATTTGTTCACCACATGAGCAATGAACCACTTGTAACAGTGTCCCAACAACGTGATCTCGATGTTATTTTTGATAACACGTTAACTTCTCCAGCCACATTCCGGATATCGCCACCAGGTCTCTGAAACTGCTGGGCTTTGTTAAGAGGTGTTCAAGGGACTTCACCAACATCTCTTCCATCAGGCTTCTCTACTGCACAATGATAAGGCCCATCCTGGAGTACTGCTCCGCGGTTTGGTCACCTATGTATTCTGTCCACATCAACACCTTGGAGCAGGTGCAGGCTACCCATTGGGACGTGGAAAATTTATTTTGGACACACTCGAGCAATACAGATATCGGAGCTGTTTTGTCGCAAATAAGAGATGGAGAAGAAAGGGTCATTGATTAGAGTGCCCACCAAGTTTGTCTCTATTCTCGAAAGAAGAAAGGTAGATCTACCAAGCTAACACCAGTATATGGGAAGGCCCGTGCACTATTACCAAGAGACTGAACGAAGTCGATGTATCAAATCCAACGCGGCCCCAAAGGTAAACTAGATCTTGACAAAAGTGTGATCAGATCGGGGCGATCTGATTTAGGAGGGAGGCAGTCTTACGAAAATGCATCTACACTCTGGCCGGAATTCCAAGAAATGAGCTTCCTACTTCTTTACATCTGGCAGCAGCGCGCCTTTCCCGGGGATTCCATTATATTCGATATATATTGGGAAGTGTATTTTAGTGAACCCGGAATCCGTCGTTCCAATATGTAACATTACCATCACATTCAAATTCAACATTGCAATAATGTCCTTATGACAACATCTAGTCATGTGAAAACCTCAACAGTAGGATCTAACCAATAACAAAACATAATTTCCTTGCTTTTCGTGTAATGGTTTAAATTTTTTTTGTTTTTTAAAAAAAAATTATCCATTGTTCAGTCTACCATCATTTAACTGGCAAATCGGTATTCCCGAAAAGTCCCAACAAAAAAAAAAACACAATTCGACATTAGACGTAGGCAAGAAGATACGTGCGGCACAAACTAAAAACTAAATCCTTTTTCGAATATATGTGTGCGGGAGTTTCGGTTTTTGAGTGAAAAGGAGCACGTACCGGCAACTTTGAACGTTCCTAAACTGAAAGTTAAATGTTCTGTGTGCTGCGATCTAAAAAAAAAAAAAGGGACGGACGAGAGAGAAGGAGCAATTTTATGTTGTTATGATCGCTTCGTTACTTTCTGGTGTTTCATGTGAAGAATGTTTTTAGGAGGCGACAAACGTAATTAGGAAAGCCATTATCGCCTTACAAAGGCGACGTTAAAGTTAGTTGTTTTTGTTACGCTAACAAAGAGTGGCTTTGTGTTTGCTTTTTCAAATTGTTAGTCGTTGTTTTTTATTTTTAACCTTTCTTATGAAATTATATAAAAATCAAGAATCTTACTCTAACAATAGGTGTATTGCGTCTTATTTGTTAAAAAAAAATGAAATGTAGATGTTTTTTATCTATCTAATTCTGAATTGATTTTGCTTGTGTTGCATAAAATGGCGAAGAGGTGAATTTGGGAATTTGGAGGAACGTAGGACGTTTGTAACGAGGCACTTCAAGTAATACTAACCATATACAGCTAGACTACTTTCTGAACACCATTGTAAAGAACTCGTACACCACTCAGTTTTAAATAAAACAATTGCTTTAAATTGATTATGGAAAATCTATTTTGAACGAACAAAGGAAAATATTGAAAGTACTTAAATCGACCACATAGTATTGTCAGTTAGGCCCTTGACAAAGGGCCCAGTGGTCAATATGTACTGTGTCCATAGGCTCACTGTTCTTTTCAATACTATGTAATCTACCAGTTGTTCTTCCAGACGGTTTCTTACTATATAAAGTCC